GGTTAGTGTTAATTAATTAATTAATTATAAGCAGTTCTCTGCAGTATCAGAGAAGTATCTGCTCTGGTGCAAAAGAAAGGTAGGAATGTGCAAATAGGGAGAAAGGACAGATAACACTCCAAACTTCTCAGTCTCAAGTCACAGTGTTGAATTTCGGAATTGAATAGCCATATTAAAAAAATACATGTTACCAGTACTATTAATACTGCTTGTACTGAATTACTTCCCTGCTTATCAACTCTGCCATCATCACATACATCTGCCCTAGTATTTATATTTTGTGCAACTGTAACAATCTTTAGAAGTTTAATCAACCAATTACTTCTGACCTCTGGAATTACTGACATTTAATGACACTGCAGTCTTCAAAGGTATTATTTATAAAGTACTTGTTTTAGAGGCTTCATATACTGCCTAACGGTATATGCAAAATTTCTAGACTAAAAATATTTCAAGATACATAAAAAGGCTGAAGGATAATGATGTTTAACACTTTCATATAAGTTACATCATAGGTTGGACAAGTGAAAGACAAGCTTGCCAAGCAACCTGGCTCAACCTAGCATTAGCATTCATCCTGTTCCATCTATTTAATCTCTATTCTACACAGCCCTGAATTTGAAAGCACCCTTACCTTGTGTCTTCATCCAGAAGATTCAAAGTAGAATTTACTTCAAAATTTCATTTTTGCTACTTAAAAAATTACATTCTTTGTAACACTGAAAGTCAGTCTGAGTTCTACTGAAAATACTTGAGTGGTGAACTAAAGATAGGAGGAGGAAAACCAGCACAGACAAATGAGATGGAACAGAGAGACAGCCCAGACAAGAGACTAAACAAGAAGGAAAGGAAGGAAAACTCTTTTGTTTTCGATTAAGTGTTTAGAAAGTAGGGGGAGACATTAATTCTTCAGGAAAATAAATTTTCATAATTGTTCTGCTCAGGTTAGCAGTGTGATTCATGCTACCAGTCCTTGAAACATGCAAAAATTAAAAGCGCTGGTTAAACCTTAGGTTCTTGTTTTGCTGCTCAGGTCCCCAATATAATTTTGTGTCTTAGGTTCTTTGGAAAAAAACACCCATTGGGGAGATGGAGGTGTATGTCTCAGATACAAATGACTGAATATGGCAGTGCTGAATAACCATACTGTCAGCAGAATGGAGAAGGCAAGTAGGGTTGGAGTTTGGACAAATGAGAAGAATTCAAGGCAGAAACACAGGAATATATTGTTAATAAAGTGAGAGAGAAGTATAACCAAAATCTCCTTTGAGCCTGAAGAAGGCTACTGTGTTTTGAAGCTTTATCTACCTTTTTACCTACCATCTTACTAACAGACAGTGAGAAATAGAAGCGTATTGAAAGTCTTCTAGCTACCACAGATCATTTTTAGAAGTAACTTCATGATTACTGTTTTTTCCAGCTAGTCCTTGTTGATGAAATCATTTTTAGGTACAGTGATCCAGCTACAGGCCTGGCTTTTGTCACATTATTCCCATATATTAATTTTTTTAAAATAAAAAAAGAATGCATGATTTAAAATGTCAAGCACTGCTGTTGCTTATTATTAAGCTTAAAACCTTTGGGGATGTTTTTCCCAACTGTAGTTTAACGCCTAAGTAAAAATAATGTCTATTTCCAGATATGCTGCAAACTTAGTAATACAGGGAGGGTCATCCGCTGACACAGTATTATCCTGCCAAGCAGAAAAAGCATGATGATACTACTATTGCACAATATTTCTCAAAATAAATGTTGAGATTACTTTTGTATCTATTCATAGTGGGACATTTTGTCTTGCCGCCCACCTTCTTCAAAGAAAGGGCTATTTTTAAAAAGGTGACTTATACAGTTCACAAATATTTTTCTAGCTGCTCTTCAATTTTCTATTAATAATTTAAATAGGATTAAATGACTTGTACTAAAAGAGAAATAACTGAACATGTCATTACTTGACAAACAGCCTAGTCAATATTTGTGTCCTAAACACAAGCTTTTGATGGGGTAACAGCTGTCATTAAAGTAACTATCCAACACCAGACTGGACAACAGAAGTAGAATGCTTTTGCCTGGGTTGGTAGAGGCAAATACACATTAAGCTCCTGTTCAAATGGCATGAGAGAAATAGAGCAAGTGTGAATATTGTTACAAAAAACTTCTGAGAAGCTCAACTATGATCTCCAGAGGAAAGGATTAGGCCTTATCTTAGAAAAATAAACTTTTTCAAAAGGATGAGCAAATAGGTTGTACCACATCCTTCCAGATTCACTGCCTTTAACTCTTCCTAAGACCGCATGAAAAGTGAGAATAAATGAGAATTTATTTAAAACAGTCTGTTCATATTTCCACGTCCTCTTTTTATATTCAACAACCATTGCAAACAGACATATGTAGCTGTATAACAACTGGTTTTTTAGTAAATCCAAACAGAAATTTAGCATTAACAGCCTTGGCCTTAAGAACAAAAACAGTCCACCGCCTACATGTGAAAGGAACTATGTGCTATTCTGTAAAGTGATGTGCACTATGAAAACACAAATATTTTTTAATTTGTGTCCTTAGAGATACAAGGTGATTCTACCATTGTGCTATATCCCTAGATACTTAGACACAAAAACTTTGAAAGGGATATCAGCTGGGAACTGAGGCACACTTGCACAAAAAAAAAAAAAAAAAAAAAAAGAGCAAGCATGCAGTGGACAGAAATAGGAGGTGGGAAAAGTAAGTCTCTTTTGAAAAGGGTTCAAGTAGCTGCTTAAAAAAACCCAAACAAAGCAAACAACCTACCCACCAATCTATTTGCCTATTCCTTAATTAATTTCAGGCCTGTTCCCAAGCAACTACTGCTGTCCTCATCGCACCAAAGAATAGAAGAGAGACAGGAAGATCACCTACACAAGACCATTAGACAAGCTCTTCCTAATAGTTTTGATAGTCTTGTAAAAGAGAAGATTATGCTACAACAGAAAAGAAGGGGTATTGAGACAATCCTTTTTTTTCCTACAAACTTGTATGATCTCTTCAGGGAAACAGGATATAAGGATATAGGATATAAGCCTATAGCTTCTCTCAGTGAAGATTTGCCAAGTCTTATAATCACATATTTTCTTCAGTTTCTCTCTTCTTCATGCCAGCTGAAGTGTCACTAACCCGAATTGTGAGCAATGAGCAAGTTTTCCTTCAATATCTCCCTTTCTCTCCCCCTCTTTCTGCTGATTTTCATATCCTTCTGTGCACCATAACTGGGAAGGGCACCTGGTAAGCATGGGCTTACTGACTCTTACTTGTACTGCTTACAAGCCACCAAAAAGCCAGAAAGACTGGACCTCCAAACACTTACTGGAACTCAGAAAAGAAGGCAGAAGACCAGCAAATCCATGGAAACCAAACTGTTTACCAGCAAGAAGGCTAATGGAGAATGGGAAAAGAAAGATGAGATGGTAGACAAAGAGTAAATCAGGGGTATAGATATTGGGAAGTGTATATGAGCTAATAAGGAATTACACAATTTCAAAATATAAAGGTAAAGGATCATTGATTGCTAGCACAACAATCTAGGAGTCCTGGTTACACTCCAAACTCTTCAGTACTCTGCTATAGTATAGAAGTTATAGAAGTTACATGACATCCATCTGTATATATTTACCCATTATTAAAATGTGGTTAATAATATTAACTTAAATCCTATGTGTGTGAAAGCAATTTTAAATTCTCATATGTAAGTTTTATAGTTCACTTTTATACACAATGACTGGAATTAAAAAAAGCTCACTCTGCAAACATGCTTTTACTAAGAATCCAAGAGGAAAATATATTCCTCAGTTTCCTCTTCCATATTGACATTCCTACTCTGTCTTTAATCAGTTTCCCTCTATAAATCTGATGCATATGATGACTTTTCAGATTATTTGCCTTCGTTGTCTTCCTCAGACTGATCCTGTGACAAAACACTACAATCCCAATTTGCAATACAAAAGCCAAGTGTCACAAGACATGGTAGCTAACCTATTTAAGCACTAGCTAAAAGCCTTGCTTTCTTTGACATCTTCAGAACTGTGAATTTATAGCAACCTTCACTACAATTGCCCAAAATAAACTGCCTCAACTTAGGTATCACCTACTGTACTTACAGAACAAACATACCATACCACATGGTATATCATACTGTACTTATGGTACCTCACACCATACTTTATATCTTCAGAAAAGGGGAAAAGTTGTTGGGCCTATCCATGTTTAAAATATTGCCTGCAATCTGATCAGAGTAATCTTAATGAATCTTGACATAATAAGCCAAGTAAAACCTCAAGGACTGTGGTGAGCATAAGTAGTGTCTATACCATGTTAGCCACATTTTTTAATTTAAACTATCAACAAAATAATGAAAAGCCACTTCACAAACCAACAGAAAGAGACTAAGAATGTTAAAATTTAATGAGACACACGAGAGTAGTATTGAGGTACCCAGGTAACAGTGACTTAAAGTTGCAACAAACAAGTAAGCATTTGATGAAGATTGTGTTACATCATCTTCTTGAAACATATGGAATAATAGATAACAACAGAATAATATGAGTTCCACATAGTTACCAATATCAGTACATGGTATCTTTTCTACTAACCTTTTCTGTTTAACACCAGTTTTATTATTAACCTCTTTCGTTTTGTTTGGAGTTTGTACAGTATCCAAGGGGTGGGCAAACTTTTTACATGAACATTTTTGTAATGAAGCAGAGGCCAGGCTCACTTCTGCTCACAGTACACTGACAGATACTAGATAATATTGGAGGTAACTTACCACAGGCAGGATGTACAAAAATGTTATATGAATGTCTGATTAAAAACAAGCACTCTTAGTCATTCTTTCACTCAAAAGAAATTAATGTTTACCATGTAGCTTTCTTGGCACATGATTTGAACTAATGAGAACAGACAATACCTCATTCTGTAATTTAAAAAATAAAAAAAAAATATTTTTTTTTTCAAAGCAGACCTAGACATACCCAGTTGCTGAAAGAGAAGAGCCACACTGGTGCCTGTAACAGGAAGGCTATCATGTAGAGGTGTCTGTATCAGTTGCCGGTCTCCAGCTCCCAAAGAAAACAATTTCTGTAGAAATAATTTTTAATTGCGTATAAGTTTAATTTATATAGAATAAACAAGCTGCTGTCATACAGGTAAGTGATTGATCCTGCAAATATTATTTATTTTGTTTACAGAAGTTTAAAGTCAGTAAGAATAATTGAATTAACCAATAGGGAACTGAAATATAATTTGAGAACAATGATATGGCTCCTTGAATGTATAGCATGATAGTGCCTTCCTTGTATTTCCATCGAATTAGTTAAATAGTTATGGTTTTGAAGGCATTCGATATTACATTTTTAATAATACATTAAAAAATCTTCCAGAAAAAAAGAAGTTTAAAACCCATTCAAATCAGAAAAATACGTATGGTTTTCTAACTGAAGTTCTTTGATTATCTACTGCCTGCATGCATGTTTTAAGTATGAACATACTTGTAATATATGGGTATTGTAGAGGGCACTTCTGCATATTAAAGTATGTTCCTGCTCTGCATATTAAAGTAGAATTAAAACTTCAGTTACCTTTCCAGCACAAGAAACATACCTCCCTTGAGGGAGGCAGGAAATGGGAGTGAAAGGAATGCACTTGTGCATCACATCCCAAAAAGTATTGTAACTGCAAAATAATCTTGCTTTCCTCTGAGTAAATCCACATGACATTCAAGCAGCGGATAATTTCAAGCGGTTACCTCTAACCACTAACAACCGTGGGGTGGGGGGCATTTCTGTACAAGCAGTAAGTGTGGTACAACTCCACCTTGTACGGCAGCAAAGATGTTGAATGCATGGAGGTAGCAAGCTCTAGTTGCTGCACAGCAGATGTTTGAAACCAAAATGCTCCACAGTAAAACCAAGCAAGTCCCTGAGCTGTAGCACAGATGCTCTTCCCCAGCACTTTAGCAGCAGACCTGAATGCAGGTCAGTAACTAATTTTGCAATTGATTATTTCAACAGTGGACACAGGAATAACCTGGGAGGCTCCTCTAGGAGTTCTGGAGATAAACATCAGAAGGGTGTTCTCATTCTAAGATACCTAATTCAAATTTAGCCCCGGAAGCACGAAGCTTAAGAAAGAAAACAGATTAATTTCTGATTAAAATGGTAGTTTGACACTAGCAAATTTAAGTTCAAACTGAAAGAACATTTCATTTGAAGACAGAAAGCAGAAGGGAGAATAGCCAGAGGAGCATGAATTTTCCTCCCTCTTCTAGCAGAGGAAATGGCCACTGGGGAAAGCC